CAAAGTCCCTGCATTTAACTGCTACAATACACTGCTTGATATTCAGCGGGCCGGTCTCTCACAATAATGTATTAATTTCATAAATATTCACAATTTGCTTAAAAATCTGTATAAATACAAAGCAACCAGAGTTCAAAGACCACTACAATAAAACAGCAAAACCAACAAGGGTAAGAATAAAAGAACTTTAATGCTTTCATGGCATGCCTATTTCCAATAACCTTCCAGACTTAAAAGTGCTGACAATAATAATTCACTATAGTCTATGAAACTTCCTCATTCACCTTGCCTCACCCTCAAAGCCATATGGTGAAGAACCTCACCAGGTGTCAGGAGAGAAACTCCCTCTCTTCTATTCCCCATAAGAATAATCTCTATACTTCTTCCTACCAACACCCCCAATCATTTGAAAACATTATCCTTCTCTACAAACTTCCCTTTCTCCAGAGGTACATGGGAACAGCAACCAGTAAAACTGGTAACACAATTCTTAGACTGGAGGAAGCTAAAAAGCAGAATGTAGAGTGCATTTCAAATCTGAGTTTCCAAACAGAAGAAACTTGTACATCAAATACCTACAGAAGATGGTATTTTCAGATGTAATCTTAAACAGAATATAATAGTTACAGTACTTTAGTATTAGTCTTTAGTATAAACCCGGAAATTTACAGCCTCTGCATCTCTGCATGCAATTGGACAAGAATATGGTTTGCATAACTAAGGAAACGTTTCATGAAAAATCTGAGTATCAAGGCAATGAAAGATATAGGATGCGTGATTCCAGCAGGATCCTGGGGGTGCCAAAACACATAAACAAACTATGGCATGAAAAGGTTTTTCTCACAACTAAACACAATTCATGTCTTCAAGTTATTTTACACTCCAGTGACTAGAGTCGCCATGCATCGGCACCAACTGATTTCACGCTTTATAGGCTGTGAAACAGTCCGTAGCTTGGTCTCTTTCACACTCCACTAACATGGTATCCCTATAGTTCACAAACTTAACTACTCCCAGTTTAGTGTTAGTGCACCTATTACTGACCACCTCAAAAGGCAGTTAGACCAAAGTTTTAATATAACTGAACACAACAGCAATATAATATGTAATAGAAAGGTGGAGAGAAAGCTCTGCTTCTGACTCCACATATATACCTGGTGGTAGGGGGGAGAGAGAAGGAAAAACTCCCTCCTAAAACTTCTTTCTCTTACCAGACATCTGGAGATTGGCTTGTATTTCTAGACTTATTAGAAATTAGTTCCTCTACTGAGTCTATCTGGATTTCATCCCTAATATCCTATAGTTGACCAGAGTTGCAACTGACAAGGCTTTGAGGGCTGCCCCTCAAACCTGACATGGATTAAACTTTATCTTTCTTTCCCTTTAGGATTCAGACTAAAGCTAATAAACCACACAGTAAATTTTCAAAGTAGAGGCAACCAGACTTCATCTGTGCTGAGTATTATATATATTACTTCATTTTTAAAATTATTTATTTTAAGAGAGCAAGAGAGCGAGAGCAAGGGAAGGGCAGAGGGAGAGGGAAAGACAAAGAATACCAAGCAGGCTCCGCACTGTCAATGCAAAGCCTAATGTGGGGCTCGAACTGAGCTGACCAAAATCAAGAGGCAGACGCTTAACCGAATGAGCCACCCAGGTGCCCCTATATTATCTCATTTGATCCCAACTACACACTAAGAAGTAGCTAGGTATCTCAATTTTACAGATGAGAAATCTGAAGCTTACATTACTTAAAATCACACAGCTTCCAAGTGTTGGTTAGGATTCCAAAGTCCCTGAACTTAACTAGTATATTCAGCTAGAATATATGACTTTTAATAATTGGGGTAAAACAACAGACAGCAGAGAAAAGTTTACAAAAAAATAAAAAGTGCAACACCAACATGAAAACTATTGTAAAGGGGGTGGAATCCCTATTTTAGAGATATAGTTACAACTCTGTATTTCTCTCCCCCTTCCTTAAAGCTATGCTAGCAACTGTGAAGGCCAAATGTGGCTGGTGAGAAACTGAGAAACCAAAAGAAGAAAGTTTCACTTCAAAGTAGGCAAAGAAAACATTAGATAATTAACAAATAAGAGCTCCTCTTATATGCAGATTGAAAGCTTACTAATTAGAGATTCAAGAATAACAAATACTGTAATTAACTTAGAATACAATCTCTTCAGAGCAATGCTCCTTTAGATATCAGGAAGCCTGTAGAGAGCACTACAAAACGCTTTTCCAAGAAGTACGATGTACTGAACAAACATGACTCGGGTACTAAAACTGCATTCTAATCTATTTTTTTATGATACTAAAAGAAAGATAACTGCTAAAGACTAGTAAAAGCTAACAATAGGTAATGGCATTTTCTTGGAGTCAAACAAGTATTTTATGTGCAGATACTGTACTGAGATCTATGCTGGGACAGTGGAGATTATAAAGTAAGACTACAATGATATAACATGGTTTGAACCACATGAATAATGCAGCCTCCCCTTTAAGTTGTCCCCATCTAATTGGGAAGGTAAAAAAAATTTTTCAAAATATCGTTTTAGGGGCGCCTGGGTGACTCAGTCAAACATCCACCTCTTGATTTCAGCTCAGGCCATGGTCTCAAAGCAGTGAGACTGAGCCCCCATCAGATCCCATGCTGGGCGTGGAGCCTGCCTAAGAGTCTCTCTCCCTCTTCCTCTGCCCCTTCCCTGCTCACACACAAGTGCACTCTCTCTAAAAAAAAAAAAAAAAAAAAATTGTTTTAAGGTAATATATGATAGCCAAGTAAAGAGAAAAGCAATAAATGATAAAAACCCAGAGAGATATCAGGAAGGGCCTAGAATGGTTGAAGATGTCATAAAGTAGGTGGAACTGGAGTTAGGCCTTTATAAGCTGGTATAGAGAAAGAATCGAAGGGAGACATTGCAAGGAGAAGGAATAGGTTGAACAATATGAAGGGGCAGTAAGTCAAAAAGTGTTATTTTGGAGACACTTATAGAAACTAGTCTGGCTAGAGTCAAAGGCTGAACCACAGTAAACCATAACTCGCCCAACATTAAAGTCTATTCTACAATCCAGAAATATTCAGAAACCCATGCACTGATGTCTAATGAAGACTGCTATGGTTGGCCAACTGGTTCTAAAACACCACCACTTGATGGTATGTGTACATAAAATCTAATATATAAATAAATAATAGGATGTACATTTGTCTGAGATAAAGGCCCAGTTATTTGGGGATCTAGATATGGTAACTGGCCTTCTTACCATTACAATAATTCCTGGAAAAGACAAGCCCCATCCCTATCTCCCTGACTTTTATAGTCTCATTTCCTGGTAGGAAGTGATATTTCTAGTCTCTTCAAAATTTTTCAATCTATCCAATCCACACTCTCATCAGTTGAACACCTAGCCTTACAGTTTTGATGACAGAATGAAACATTGACACCTTGAAAGGAAAAGTGAAATACACCAATTTTCTACTCCACCAAACCCCTCCCCTCACACACACCCTCTGGCTGTTCACTTGCCACCGTCTCAGCAGTGCTAACAAGAACAGCTTCCATTCCAACTGCCCACAGACCCAGAGCTGCCCTGCTCTTCTCTCATTCCTTCCCCTCCCACCTCTGTAACTCACACACAACCCCCTCGCTCTGTGGGCTGTCTTCCCCAACTGCTGCCCCACGATTCACAGGCCCTCACAGATTGTCAGCACTGCATTCAGGGACTTGAGAAGTACTCTTGTGGGACAGCGCAGTGTGTTAGTACACCATTTTCCCGGACACAATGTCACTCTTTATAGCCAGTTGCAAATTAGATTCTTCTTAAAAAAAATAATACTCCTAATAAGACAGGTACAAGGAGATTTTAAATAACCAAGATTAAAACTCATTTTGGTCTGCTCTCAGATCGGGGCTATTTCAGACTCATGCACAATGAAATCACATGCCTCTACTCATCTAAGCCATATACTCCCTCTTGGAACATCAGAAGCTTGCTTTCTGATGCTAACAAGAGCAGATACACCACCAAAAAAGATATCAAAGGAGAATCTTCTTTCCCCTTTTTTCTGTAGTTATGGCTCCTCATCCTTAGATTCCATCTGAGAATACTTTAAGCTCTGAATGCCAATATTTACTTCTCATTATTTATTTTTGTGTAAAACCATTTAATAGAAAATTCTGCACGTCACCAGTATTTCATCGTAGTTTTCAATTTTTTGCCACATGCTTCAGCAGCACCCGAGTACAATTATCTTCTAACGTTTGCTATGACTGACCCTCTTACTACCACCAAAGCCTTCACCCTACGTATCAGCCACCCAGTTAACACTGGCAAAACATTAGAAACAAAAGCTGGAAGAGACTGAAAAGATCATAAGGGGATGTGGCTAAGAAGGTCTTACAAAATAGTGGTCATATCAACTTATTAAGTCTTCTTGGAAAAAATTTTAACTGAAAAAGAACACCTACAGAGTAATATTAAATAATTAAAAACAATTTCATTAGCTATCTCATTACTTTTCATTTCTAATTTCTTTGATAGCATTATTCATTCTGCTTCATTATGCTTAACTGAAGATATAATCTTCCTGAATCAGTTCTTCAAACCTCTATAACACAGCTTCTTTACTGCTCCCTATATGAACTAGAGGGAAGTTCTAGAGCTTGAAAGGAAGGATGTCAATTTTCTGTTCCTACAGTGAAAGAGGTTAAACAAAGCAAAACCAGTATTCCAGCTTTGAGAACTAATTCAAGTATCTAACCAGCCCCTGTTCTCTCTATAGCAAACACCAGAATTAAGAACAGTGGACAGAAGAAAATCTTTAAGAGACCTTCAGTCCTTAAGAAAATCTTTAAGAGACCCTTGAAATTGCCATTCTCAAACTTGTTTTAAATGGGTTACAAATAAAATGACACTAAAAGAAACAAAACAAGCAAATAAATAGAGTAAATAAACAATAGTTCTTTAAAATATGCAGACGCGTAGTTAACTGACTTACCAAATAAACGACATTTATTTTTTGAATAATAAAACTCTAGAACATGCAGACAGATTTTATCTGAAGGCAAATGGCACAAAGATTTCCTTCTGATAAACAGTAGTCTCACCTGGAAAAAAATAATAAAAGTTATTTTTATAAAATTATATAGTTACTTCTTTGACATTAGTCTGTGCACTTAACTTTCATTATCTCACTTCATGAATGCTAAGAGTTTAACATAGAATGTGCAATGAAAATAAACACAAACCGACAAAAATACTTTTTAGTAGCTCATCAACCAAACAGAATAAGAAAACATCATCTTTTCTCATTCTCAGTCCTGTGAGAACTAGTCTGAGAAGGCAGAAATGCTAATTAACTGCCTTTCAAAAAAAGAGAAAGTGACGGACCTGGGTGGCTCAGTCAGTTAACAGTCCGACTTCAGGGGCACCTAGGTGGCTCAGTCGGTTATGCGTCCGACTTCGGCTCAGGTCATGATCTCACAGTTCGTGGGTCCAAGCCCTGTGTCAGGCTCTGTGCTGACAGCTGGCTCAGCCTGAAGCCTGTTTCAGATTCTGTGTCTCCCTCTCTCTCTGACCCTTCCCTGTTCATGCTGTCTCTCTGTCTCCCAGAAAATGAATGAATGAATGAATGAATGGATGAATAAATAAAAATAAGAGTCTGACTTCAGCTAAGGTCATGATCTCACAGTCCATGAATTCAAGCCCCACGTCAGGCTCTGTGCTGACAGCTCCGAGCCTGGAGCCTGTTTCAGATTCTGTGTCTTCCCCTTTCTCTGACCCTCCCCCTCCTGTTTCAGATTCTGTGTCTTCCCCTTTCTCTGACCCTCCCCTGCTCACACTATGTCTCTCTCTCAAAAATGAATAAATATTAAACAAAATTTTTTTAAAGAAAGAAAAAACCAAAATAATACAAATGATGAAAAACACAAAAAGATGCTCAACTTCTAGTCGTAACTATAGTTCTAACTTACTGGATAGCATATGGTGCATGCTCAATAAGAATATGCCAGATGGTTGGATGGATAAAAAATAAAGCTCATCAACTAGCAAAGAAAAAAATATATCACATCAGTTAGCAAAGAAATGCCAAATAAATATATAAATATACAGTACTTTTGTTTGCCCATCAAACTGACAAAAATTTTTTAAAAAAAGCAATAAGGTCCTGTTTTGGTAAATGTAGACAGAAGAGTTCATACATTGCTGGTGGAGGAATACATTTTATTAATGTATAAAGCATTTTAACAATATTTCAGGATCTTTTACATAACAAAGGGACTTAGGACCAGGCAATTCTTCAAACACTTTATCATAAGGTAATAACTCACTTCTACCAGAATACTTATCCTAAAACTATTTATAATAGTGAAAAATTATGAACAACTTTAACATCCACCTAAATGACTGAGGTTAAATAAATTATGATACATCTAAACTATAGAAAAATAGTCATTGGAAAGAACAATGGTAGCTCTATAAAAACTGATATGGGGCGCCTGGGTGGCTTAGTTGGTTAAGCGTCCAACTTTCACTTAGGTCATGATCTCGCAGTTCGTGGGTTCGAGCCTCGCGTCGGGCTCTGTGCTGACTGCCAGCTCAGAGCCTGGAGCCTGTTTCGGAGTCTGTGTCTCCTTCTCTCTCTGACCCTCCCCTGCTCACACTGGCTCTCTCTCTCTCTCTCCTAGAAATAAATAAAAATATTTTTTAAAAAACCTGATATAAAGATCTACAGAAATATTTGAGTTTTTTAAAAACTGAAAATTTAACAAGTGTACAAAACCAATATAAAAACACTCCGGAGTATATTTGAACAAATGGAAAGTTTGCTTCCTGGTTCTCAGATAAAAAAACTCAACATTATTCAACATCATAAAGACCTTAGATCTCCCTCAAGTAATTTATGAATTTAACGTAATCCCAATAAAAATCCCACTTTGAGAGATGCCTGGGTGGCTCTGTCGGTTAAGTGGCTGACTTCAGCTCAGGTCATAATCTTACAGTTAAGTGAGTTCAAGCCCCACATCGGGCTCTGTGCTGACAGCTTAGAGCCTGGAGTCCGCTTTGGATCTGTGTCTCCCTCTCTCTCTGCCCCTCCCCTGCTCATGCTCTGCCTCTCTGTCTCTGTCTCTCAAGAAAAAAAAAAAAGTTTGGAAAAAATCCCACTTTGAGCAAACTTTCTTGTGGAGATAGAGAGCTCACACTAAAGTTCTACAGAAAAATAAAGATGTAACATGACACATTAAAAATGTTAAAAGCTATCCCTCGAGGTACTCTAAAGCCTCTATAATTAAAACAGCATGATAATGGCACAGGAATAGACAGATCACTGCAAAAGCATAGCAAGTTCAGAAACAAACTCAATGGAAACTTAAGGTACTTTAAACAGGGCATCTCAAAAAATATGCTGGGATGACTAATTAGCATTTGGAAGATTATTAAACTTGTATAACTAAACAGAACTCAAACATGTCAATTCTTCTCTTCCTCAGAGAAAGAGAACGGTATTCCAATTACAACCCAAAATTCAGATGCAACAAAAGACTGAAACATTGAACTAGATAAAAGCCAGAATACATACAGACACACACACACACACACACGTTATATGTTATATACTATACATATTAAAATAGCTAATATCCCTTAAAAAAAGAACTCATAAAAATTGAGGGAGAAAAAAATTTAATAGGGAAATGAATAAAAAGATACAAGACAATTAGCAAACATGAAAAAAGATATTTAAAATGACTTTATACATATGAAAAGATGTTCAACGTCACTACTAACAAAAGAAATAAACGTTAAAACTACATGGAGATACCACCTCTTACCTATAAGGTTAGCAAAAATTAAGAAGTACACCAGTCTCATGGATATGGGGAAACAAGCATTCTCACACACTGCTGGTGAGAATTCAAATTTATACAACCCCCACAGAAGGGGATTTAGCACTATTTAAGAATATTACACATGCTTCTAAACTTCTGACCCAAACATCCCATTTTAGGAATTCACCCAAAGGTACATTTCTAACATATAAATATATATGACCAGGTTATATGCTTAATGTAGCACTGTTTGTAAATGCAAAATATTGGAAAGAGCATAAAAGAATGGTTAACATTCTCACAAAAGAGTAGTGACACACAACTGTCAGAGGGAGGAAAAGACACGGAGGGAAGGTGAGTCTATAAACTGATTTGGAATGGATTCCAAAATATGTTGTGTTAAATTAAAAAACCAAAGTACAAAAGTTATCTATAGTATTTATCTTTTGTATAAAAAAGAAGAAGAGGGGCACCTGGGTGGCTCAGACAGTTAAGCGTCCACCTTCGGCTCAGGTCATGATCTCACGGTTCATGGGTTCAAGCCCCGCATCAGGCTCTGTGTTGACAGCTCAGAGCCTGGAGCCTGTTTCAGATTCTGTATCTCCCTCTCTCTCTCTCTGACCCTCCCCTGCTCATGCTGTCTCTCTCTCTCTCAGAAATAAATAAAACATTTTTAAAAATAAAAATAAAAAAGAAGAAATCAGAAAATATATATGTATCTTATCATTCCGGGGGGGGGGGGACACACAGTAAGGATAAGTGAGAGAATGATGAAACTGGTTATCTACAGAGGAGGGGGTGAAAACAGGTGGAAAGGGAGGAAAAATGCGTGACACTGCTCTGAGTATACATTTTTTGTACAATTCTTACTTTTGGAACCATGTTAATGTTTCACATACCACAAAATAAGGAAGAGCAATTAGGATGGAGAGAAAAACTTAGAATAAAAATAAAACTGAACTGTATTTCAAATGGCTAACATAACCATGTGAGGAAGGGAAGAATGCTAGGGAGAGAATGAATCCAAGTAATTTTTAAACATGGTTTTTAGATCAGCACTGTCCCAACAGAAACATAATGAGAATCACATATGTTATTTAGTATGTTTAGTAGCCACATTAAAATAAAATAGGTGGAATTAATTTTATTAATATATCTTATCCAGTATATCTATTTCAATATATATCAACATAAAATTATTACTAAAATACTACTGAAATCTTTCACCTTCCTTATTTCATATTAAATTTACAAAATCCAGTGTATACTTTACACTTACAAAACAATTCATATGTAGTGGCTTCCCTATTGAACACTGGAGATTTAGAGTACATACCTTTAGGCTAAAGCAAAACCTACCAACAAATACTGAACTCTACTTAGGTGTCTTTTAAATAGTGGTATGAGTTAGTAATCCATAAACTATTTTCTGATATTCTAAGATTGAGCCAATAAGTAAAAACAGGAGTAACAGGGCGAGATTTTTCCCTGTTGGAAGAGGGAGTTATAAACACAGAATAAAGGAGAGAATAAACCCTGTAGTACTGGGCTGGAATCAGAGGTTATCAGTATAAACTCACTGCTTTCAGTAGACAAATGAAGATGCACTGAGTGTGTGTGGACGGACACACACATATGCCACATCTGTTTCCAGATGCCTGCAAGAGGGCCTAGAGCAATGAGGGCATCTAGGGGCCAGATCATGGCTTTTAAAACCATTCTCCACCAAAAGCAACCAGAGCTCCTTAAAGAAATAACTCATTCCAGGGCCCGAGCTGGGAAAGTACAAGATGAGCCTACAACATTTTGTTGCGGTAAAAAGTGAGGTAGTGCTCAAAGAATGAGAAGGGCAAGCCAAAAGGAGATAGGAAATCAGCTTGAAGGGACAGCAAGGCCAAAAGGGGGACAGCATCAAAATAGTTATGAAAAAAAGTATTATTATAAATAAGTATAGAAAAAAAAGTAGATTTAGATATTCTAAATGTTGAATTTCTAAATCTACTATTTTGGAACCATCATGAAAACGAGTCAGGCAGAAATCACCAATCAATACTAAATAAAACTGGTGAGTAAAAAGTTCAAGAAGTAACAGAACATCTTTAAAGTCTCAAAGTGTCTTTTCAAAGGTATTTCGAAATTAGAAACAAAATGTGAATGTGCTTAACCCCACTGAGCTATATACCTAAAAATGGCTAAACTGGTAAATTTTATGTTATGTATATTTTATCAACAACTACAAAAGGAAAAATAGTAACTACACGGGAAAACCTGGCAGA